TATTGGTTAATACACTCTAAACTACGACCCGACGTTTCTAATCTATGGCGCCAAGTATGTCTACTCGGGATCTTACGGCAAGTATCTTGATTAATTTAGCGTTTTGAACCGTAAGTGTAATTTACTACTACTCTATCAGTAATATTTAATTAGGGTAAGTGTAAGTTTTTAAGTATCGTTATTATTAGTTTTTAAACATAATAGCGCACTGGATGTTAACAATGTTTACAGAATTTTGTCTTTCTTTGTCTGATTTCGGGAGGTGCCATCCACTTATTTACCCCCAAAGTAGTAAATATTTCCATAGTAGTTGTTGATTTGTCTTTTAAACTTTTTTCATAAAACAAAACTGCAAATTAAAGTCGAAATTGTTTCTTATTTAACTGTACAGTGAAAATATTAGTTACAAGACGGCTTGTCTGTATTAAGTAATATGTAAATACCAATGTTTTATTATTGTCAATGGAGATGACACCTCTGTAGTGGTAGCAAAAAATGACTGTATGCTTGTCTAGTGACATCTCGTTTACTCTCGATTTATTAAGGCAAGAAGTTAAATAGAAGTAGATGTTCAAAGATAACACCTTAACAGTTTCAAACGCGAAATATATTACTATAGTTTGTCTTCCCGTGACCACGGCTGCTATCCTAAAGGTCGGGTCGTAGTTAAAAATAATGTTGAAATGAGTTTATTTCATATATATCGCGTGTCTTCCTTAAATACTTCTTGCGTACAGTATATCTAGTACCCTCTCCAACCGAAACAAATATTTTGACGGAATTCAAACTGTTGAACTAGGCAATTCGCTTAACCATAGAGCTAGAGAGATAGACGTGGTTGAAAACCCATCAATAATGCTTATCGTGTTTTCCCGAGTATTTTTACGGCGCCATATTGATTGTGTAGTGTCAAAAGCGTAACCATGGCAACGTCAACAAATTACCTCACCGTCTCTTCTGACGCTACTAGAAATCGCGATGTCCTTATGTTTACATCTCTGTTGCAACACGACACACTAAACTGTTGACCCCTTGCCTCTTAACAATATTATTTATATGGAATCCGGTCGGGAACCGAACCTGTTTACCACGCAACGCGTTAATTTTTCATCGAAAAAGGCTCCACGTTATTTAGTAGATGTAGGCGTAATGCAATACTGTCATGCAAGTTTGAAAAGTTTTAAGCCCAGTAAAAACAATGTTCTACATAATATAAATTGTGTATTATAAAGTTTACGTAGAAATCGACTATTTATTATAGATTCAATAAATACACACAAATACATAGTAATAAGAAGTAATATAATATATAATATCAATTTACAAATTCTCATTCTATTTCTGTATCATTCAAGATCAATATTTATTTTATTATGAGATGTGTATACCAAACTAGCAGATTTAATCTGAGGCCGCTAGAGCCAGGCACCTAACTGCATGGCCAGAGTTATTTATATTTTTATAGTCTATAAATGTTAATCTACAATAGCATATTGACCGACAATAGTTAACATAATTCTTACACAAATAATAGTACAAATGAATTTTAGGCTAATTTAATTGGGTATTTTTACTTTTCTCCATGTTTTTGTTATTAGGGCAGGTCTGCCTCTACCAGCTTCATATAAAAAGAAATATTAATTAAAACGTTTAATTATGAATAGTCTACATAAAAATTATACATTACTTTCAAGTTTTATAACATTAAATACTGTCTATAGTTTACGCGAGTAGTACACATTTAAATAAAATACTTTAACGGTTTAAAACGCGGTATATATTAAATTTAAGATCAATTTTCAAAGAAGTTTAACTAATATCGCGTTTTAAACCGTTAAAATGTTTTATTTGGATTTCCTAACATTCTCAATGACGATTCGAACCATCAATGGATCTTTATTATAAGTTTGTTATTCATGCAACAAAGGTATTTTAAAAGAGAAAGCTGATTACCCAAGACAACGCAACCGGAGGTGTTAAAATCATGTAAAATATTCAAATTGTCCGCTCACGGAACTTTGATAAGGTATTTTTATCACACGCTATTTATTTACGCATAAATTGTCCTGTTTTATACATTATTTACCGACACAGTTAAGCATCTCTTTTACGTAAGTTAAGTTTAGATTTTTAATATGCTAGTTTTATTATATCTAAATAAAATGTGTGACTTAAACGCAGATTTAAACTTCACGACTAAACCATCTGGCTGTTCGTACCCAGACGAAAATTTTATTTTTCATCTACTATTTTTTTTCTGGAAACCCCCGCGGGGCGGGGGGGCCTCGCCCCCCCCCCCCCTTTTTTCCCCTTTTTTTTTTTTTTCCCAGGGGTTTTTTTTGTGTTTTTTTTTTTTTTTATATTAATACTATAAAGCTAAATATTTATTTGAACGCGCTAATCTCGGGAATTACTGGTCCGACAAGAAAAACTAATTTATGTTCGTTAGAGCATTTGGCGAAAAGGTTTTAAGGGCTATACAATTTCGCTGCGACTAAACAGTGGAAAACCGAAGAAAATTACTTCACCTTTGAGGTTTTCCGTTAAGTGCGATGCGAAAACGGTTCAAGATATCCGAATAAATATGGTTGAAAGAATGATGCCTCTGTAAATGATCTAAATAGTATATCTTTAACGCGATTAACCTCTGGAAGTACGCAACCGACGAAACAAATTTTTATACCCAAAATATTCTACGCGGACGATTTCGCTGACACAGCTACTTGGTAATAAAATAAGCAGAAGTCATTACTGTAATACGTTATAATTACACTTCGATTTGGCAGAAGTTTTGCAAATTTCAACATTTCTATTGATAGGTACCTTTCCAAACCTATATTGACATTTGCGCATAAATATCACAATTGCGCTTATAAATAAGGTATAGACAGCTGAAATCTCTTTGTATTCGCATCTTCACTATCTGATTGCGCATGCGCAATCGATACAATCTAGTTTTATCTACAATTACAATTTATAGGTATTGTATTAAAATTGCAACGTTGTAAATAAAATGTTCGTTTCTCCTTAGAGTTTCCCATAGCTGAGCAAGACATGCATTCCCACGAGATGCTTGTAGAAAATAAAAAATAACTCTTTTCTAATTAGAATTTTAGAGAAAGGAGATATGTTTTTAAGCAGATTTTCGTAAGATTAGAACATGAAGTCATTCATGTATCTATAACCTCCGTGAATCAATACTTAAGCGTGAGAATATCTGCATTCGAATCCTGGGACAAGATTCAATTGGGCAGGACTAAGAAATCTTGTATAACCTACAGAAGTGTTAATAAAAATTTAGGGGAAACGATATTATTCTCTTAAATATAGAAACCGTTCACATTTAAGAATATAGTGTATGAGTAAGCATTAAAATAAAACGCTTTTAACTGTTCAAAACGCGGAACATTTGCATTGATTGTTTACTTTTTTTTAAATACATCCATCCAAGACCTGAAGTTTCGAAAACTTTACAGCAGTCGTGGTCACGGGGATTTGCGTTTTAAACCGTTAATTTTTTTTTCTAAATATTTGTTTAATTTTTAACATACAGTCGGTTAACGGAGTTACAAACAAAGAACGACGAACATATTTTTCCACTTGTCTATTTTTTCATTGCGACCTTTGCACACATGATTATGACATTTGACCTCCCTGGTAAAAAGACTTCGTTTTACGATTACACCATGTTCTGGGAAGGCCAGAATTAATGACAGATTAACTAGCTATCAATAGTTTGACGTTATAATCACTTTTTTAATAACGGAAAATCGGAAAGTCAAGAAAGCCCTTTTGTGAGATCTTGACTTTTATTTTGAATTTCTAAACCGAGGTTTAACTGTGTCTAAACACATCTGTGATAGCTTTTCACCTCATTTAACATAATAGCGATGAGATCGTTGGTGTAATGGTAGCGTTGTATGGCTGCTCATCAACGAGTCGTGGAATCGAACCCCACCAGATCCAACTTTTTTCTAATAAATTTTAATTTAATTTTTACTGAAACATGTTAGACTTTGTCTGGAAATCTGGAAATAAAATATATAGTCGGAATATCCAAATACCGCCCGGATCACGTGAGTTTCTTCGCGTTTCGGCTTCAGTGTGTGAATTTTCCGAATATCTCAAACTGAAATAAGTCGACTTGTGATGTTTTTTACCTGGGGTATTCCAACGGACGGTATTTCAATATTTCTACCATCTATATAACATCCAGAATGTAATAATAAATACGAAGTGCAACAAGTAGGTTCTGTGCCTGGATAGCCTGGAGTTCCTTTGATAGAAAATTTTAGTATTACTCCGTGACACCAGGTGAAACTGGATGTTTGGTGCATATCGATAACCTTTATATGTAGGAATCCTTTCGCGTCATAGGCATGCTATTTAGGCATCAAAGGTTAACATCAGACTGCCATGAATAATATAAAGACTTCGTGCTGACAAATATAATAAAGTAATAATATATGCATTGTCTGGGAATGTTTTGTGTGTATTGAGATAAGCCGTATTTTTGGCTTGCAACTATAGAACAAAAGTATATCGACGGTATACCGATTATCGAGGATTCGGGGAGCCTCCTGACCTTGATACTATTCGGTCAGATTTTAGCTCCAAAATTCAAATAGATGTTGGTTTTGAAGCCGCCTATAAGGACGTATTTTGAAGATTATATAAATAACTTTAAAGTCCCGTTTGATAATTGTGCGATTGAGAAAATTATATCACACTATAACCGTATTTAATAGTTATATTTATTGGACTAACTTACGAAGTAATTTTAACCAATACAGATAACATTATCCAATTTAATAATGTTAAATACTTGTCTTTTTAATATAGATTAATATGACTATTTACTGCATGTAATTTAAAATTTTGTAATATATTGTAGATTTATTTATACCCACCTACGAAACCGGGGCGATGCTCTAGTACAGTATAAACCTGCAGAATTGTTTTAATTCAATGTTGATCACTGATCAATAGAAATCTCTTACCTTAGTGCTTGCTTGAAGGATGCCAGCGCCGTTGCTGTTCACAACGCCGTTGTTACACTGCGCCCTCGGGACACACACGTAGCCCTGACCAGCACAAGTCTGCTGCAATTCACCACCAGATGTCTCCACGTTACCGCTGCCAGCGAACAGCTCGTCAATGTTCTGCTGCGTCTGCTGGGCAAAGTCGAATTCGGATGCCTTTTGCGCCGTTTGCACCAAGTTCACGTTTGAGCCAACCGTGCTGAAAGGTCTTGGCGTAGATCCAGTATAACCTGAACCGACGTTTGATGCGAAGTTGCTCTGAGCACCGAAACTTGATCCCTGAGCTCCGAGCGCGCTTTGACCAAAACCAGACAATCCACTTTGGGCAAAGTCGGCAGAGCCTGCGAATCCAGCGTTTTGGCCGGCGCCGAAAGCTCCAGCCTTAAAACCACCGTTAAAGAACGGGTTCTTAGCCAAATCGAGATCTGCCTTTGAGCTGTATGAAGACTCAAATGAAGATGATTGAATGTTGGTCGCTGGTTTCACAGCAGCAAAGTTGTTAGCGAAGTCTCCGTTCAAGAATGGATTAGCAGCTAGGTTCAAAGGTGCGTTTAAATCAGCGCCGCCTCCAACGCTGCTAGCGAAGCTGGATTTGCTGAATTTCTCGAAATTGCCGCCGTTTTTGAACGGGCCCTCTTGGTTCATCCACCAGAAGGGATTAGCGGCGAGCGTTGCGGCTGTTATAAAATTGAATTCATTGTTGATATCAGCGGCTTCAGCTGCTTTGAAGGAGTTGGAGTTTCCGTATCGTTGGATGACTTGGCCATCCTTGATTTTTACACCAGCGCATCCTTTATCTGACGAGCAACCTTCGTAAGACTGTTGGGTATGAACTTCAGCGCCGGGTAACGCTTGCAGCGCTGCTAGCACTTCTTTGGGTGATTTTATGTTGAGCGTGCCGCATGACGTACAGCGTTCTACCCTCGTCTGTGGTTCTGATTCTTCAGCCTCGACAATTGGCTCTTTGATTTGTGGTAGCTCTTTGACATCCTCTATGTTCTCTGGGTGTGCGTGGATTGCTAGCAGCAGGCTTATCGCCACCACTGTTTTGAGTAGTGGCTTCATGGTATCTGAAACAAAGGAAATTAGAATTAGAGAGCGATTCAAATTACCAAATCTAGCGTGAAAGCTTCTTAGGTATATTATGGGTTATAAATTAAATGTCAATGGTTTATTTTTTAAAACAGGATTCGCCGCTTAAGTAATAGACTAACTAAAAAAACTTAAAAACTCAAGACCAATAGTTCAAGGTCAGTTACAATGTATTATGGTAATTCAAGCCTTTTAGTAAAGAAATAAGATTGTTATTCAATTTTTCACCCGTTTGACACTATTTTTACATCGATGGCATTTCGGTTCCTATTTACTAAGGCATACGTATTATTCTGCTGTGAAGTGTGATTTTAGAGTTGTTTAATGCTAGTACCACACTAGGAGAGTTACAAAATGAGAACATATTGACACCTTGCATTATTCCGACAATTGCAACATACGGCTTATGGCTTTATTTTTTAAGTCCTTCCCGTCGTTCTTGCAAGATAATTTTTAGGACTTGGACTTTTTTTAGATCATTTAAAGAGGATTAATTCTTTCCTACATATTTTTAACCACCAACCAGTAAATCCTGAGTTCTGCTTTATATAATAAGTATATATAATATAAATTATTATACCTTCTATCGATAATATATATTTGTATGACATATTCGCAATAAGTTTTGTTTAAAACCCTCACTCATTAAATTCCCTCAAAATTAAGGTAATATCTCTATAAGGATACAGAATTCTGAATACCTTAACAAAATAAGTTTACAGAGTCACCACTCTCTCTATTGAAGAAATTGCAAAGTGTTTTTTTTTTTTTTTTTTATTTTTTTAATCGACGCCTTGTTTTTTTTGATTATTAATACTATAAAAAAGTTTCATTTTCTGATTAGGTGAAACCCTCATGAAACCAAACTTACAACCTTAACATACAATCTAAAACATTAATATAAAACAAATATGTCATGCAGTCTGTATAACATACAATATTATCACCCGAGTGTAGACACACATTTAGAACAAGCTATAGAGCGTGTCATGAATAGGTTATGTGAGAAGTCAAATAAAATATGACTAAGCTTACATCATGCATAATTAAGACGCTATTTTTTAAGCTAAGCAAATGGTAGCTCAAAGAAAATAAATAAAGCGGTCGAGTGTTCGCGGAATAGATATAAGTTTTATTTGCTTATTGTAGGATATTACTAAGACAAGTGACTTAATAGGGCGTTTTAACAATTTACGAAGCATTTAAATTGTTTTAAAGCCACTGGTATAGTAGTTCCTGAGGTTAGCGTGTTTAAACAAACAAATTCTTCAGCTGTATAATATTAGAATGGATTTAATTTATAAGTAATCTTTACTAATTTATAAAGTTGACAGTTGAGTTTCTTTGTTTGAACGCGATAATCTCAGGAACTATTGGTTGTAATTGAAAAAATATTTTTTTTGTTGTTTAACGCATTTATCGAGGAGGCTATAGGCTATAAAGCATCACGCTATTAGTAATAGGAACTATGAAACAGCGGGAAAAGTGGTAAAAACGGGGAAAATATTCATCTTTGAGGCATTCTGATGCGTACGCTGCGAAAACGGTTCAAGATACCCAAAAGATAATGTACGAAAGAATCCTCTTTAAATGATCTAAAAAAAGTCAGCGACACTATATCTATCTTTTAGATTAACTTGCAGAACGACGGTCCGACCGACGTGTGGGTAAGTTCATATATTTAAATAAAACACTAACGGTTTAAAACGCGATATATTAGTTAAACTTTTTTGAAAATGATTTTTAACGGCCCGATGTTTCGGATGCTTTGCAGCAGCCAGCATTAGTTTGCAGCAGTGACCACGGCTGCTGCAAACTAATGCTGCTGTTAACTAATATATCGCGTTTTAAACCGTTAAAGTGTTTTATTTAAATGTGTACTACTCGCGTAAACTATATACAATGTTTAAGTTTATATATCTAAATATAATAGGTTCGCAAAAACATTAGTTCGCGGGCGAATCCGCTGACACAGCCAGTATAAAGTAAAATCATATGGACCACGGAACCCATCAAACGAATTTAGTTGTAAAACATTCAACATATATTTTACTAACTACATATACATTACTGTAAATGTAATGTAAATTAATACATATTGTTATAGGCAGTATTAGTGCGTCAATCAAAGGCTTTCATAGTAAAACCGCACAACGCAATATCTTTAATATATTAATTAGGATGATAAATGATTTTGACCTTTGCTTATTACTGAACAAAAACTTACATTCGTTTGTGCAAAATATACACGTTTTTTTAAACAAACTCGAATGTACATTCAGACTTCCTTGTTTTTTTAAGATATTTTCTATAATTTAATTATTTCATTTACAAAAGGCTAAAGAATATTTACTTAAATAAGGGGGATCTCTGCCTTTTCCCCAAAAATTGTTTAGCCGTTTTCACTTTGAAGACTAACGTTAAATTTTTATGAAAACGATTAGTTTGGTAAAATTATTGTTAAGCTTGATTATTGTAATGACAAAAAAATTAGGGGCATTTATCTTTTGTCAAATTATTTAGTAGGCCAGACAACTTTTAGACAAATAATGTTTTGTACATAGAATCTAAATAACGAAAATATTTTTCAAAAAAAAACTTTTAAATTTTTAAAACCAAAATTTTTTTTTTTCGGTTTTTTTCCCCCCGGGCCCCCGCCCCCCCAAAACTCCCCCCCCCGGGGGGGGGGGGGAAAAAAAAAAAAAAAAAAAAAAAATTATTATATCTTTCCCCCGCAAAAAAAAAAAAAAAAAAAAAAAAAAAAAAAAAAAAAAAAGGGGGGGGCCCCCCCCCCCCCCCCTTATTATACAAAATTTTAAGCACAGTGTTAAGTACACGGTTAAGACACAGTGAATATAATATAACACTTTACCGCTTTAAAAAGCGAATTATATTAGTTAAATTTGTTCATAAATAAAATGAAACATGAAGCCGTAGTTAAAATAAGTTTAATAAATATACATCGCGTTTTAAACCGTTGATGTGTTTTTTTTTAATTCGACATACATGACTACCAACTACAACGAGCTTGTCAATACTAAGGACACTAAGGACATTCTACTGAAGTGGAGACCTAAGATCGTTAGTTCCATAGTCACAAAGCCTACGCGAAACCTAATATAGGCATGGGTGACTCAGGATATATATAAGGTACGATTATTTAGAACAGCCGACGCCCACGACTATGGCAGTGAAGGTAAAGAAGAGATATTTACAGGGATTATTGAAATATGGCACAGTCAATTTGGGTTTAATTGAATAGACGAGCTAACAACATCGATCGACTTTTTTTTATGAGCGCAGATAGGCATGGGGGTTATAGCCATATAATATCTAAACAAGATGCGCTATTGTCCTAAGTATTTTCGCTTTGCATATTCAGAGATCCGACAGAAACCGAGTCGTGAATAAAGTTGACACCTTTTTCATCTGTGCACAGTGGTACATAGTGACTACGGCCCGAAGTTTTGCATTAATATTTTTCCCATATATTTCACTAATTACCTATTACATTTCTCGTTTTAAACTGTGAAATGTGTTTTAATTAAATTGTGTACTACTCGCGTATAGTATTGTATATCATTATTAGAAAATGTAAAATATAAAGACCCCTTATGCATTTAGCTACCAAAGGTTAAATAAAACGGTTAATTATATAATAAAACAGTTTAAAACACACTAATTTCAAGAGGAATAAATAGTCTTCTGATGTAGGATACGTAATAATTATTTCGGATTTGATTCCCGAGGTGTAAATAGTAAAATATGACTCCCTAACTTTAGTTTATTTTTATGTGGTGGAAATTTTTAAAGCCATCGATGACGTCACATCGAGCCTAAACTAAGTGAGTCATGGATAAAAAATGTTTGAATTTGACTTTACACTTGCAGAGGTCGCGTGTAATGAGACAGACAAACATAAAGTGTGAAGGTTGGTACTATTGTGTGGAAAATAATGAGTAATGCCGACATTTTGGTATAGGAAGAAATATGTGGGTCGGACGAATTTGGATTTTTGACTACCTACCCTTCATAACATTCAGTAAATGAATTACCAGATGCTAGAAATAGACGTAAAGAAGTAACAGGAAATTTAAATAAAACACTTTAACGGTTTAAAACGCGATACACCCCGTAATACATAACCCGTTAAAGGTTTGATTTATGTGTACTACTCCGTAAACAGTATTTAAGTAACAGGAAATATAAAAAAATAATCAATATTTCTATATTGTTTACAATATTTGTAAGTAAGGTTGCGATTACGATTGAGGATAGTTGCATGTATCAATCGGTTAGAAAGATCGACAAATATTGAAGCAATAGCACGGAGAGCCATGGATGCCGGTTCGAGTCCTACCCGTGTTGGTTCTTTTTGTTATAACATCAAATAATGAAACAAAGAATTATTTTATAGATCCTTCTGGATAGAAATAATTAATTTTTTATGTCGGGGCCTTTATATTTTTGCCAGTATTCGAACCTAGGATATTTCAGCCCTAGACAACGAGCCCTTGATATAGTCATATCATTTAATATGTACTTGAAACATAATTTTCCCTTGTCCCTTAAAGGACCTCCTACAAATTTATTTTTTCTTAAATTATGTTTTTACAAGAGCGAGAATCGAACTAAGAATGCACGAACATTATAGGTCAATTCGTTCAAGATCAGCGCGCTAAAGTCGTGGCTTCGATTCCCGACCTTTATTTTTTTTATAATAAATGGTATTAAAGTAAATCTTTTAAATAAAATTGCAAAAACGTGCGCAAACTCGTTTTAAAAACACTTGTCTATGATAATTTAGAAAAGCTCCTACATACTTCTACAACCCAAGGTCGTTGAAAGTTAAGTATGACATAAGAGTCGCGGTATCGAATGTGTGGGCGGGACATAATCACCGTTTGATTCCGTCAATTGAGATGTTACCTTATGCATAATGAGAATGCAAAATCTTATCTGTACGTTCAAGG